TTTCTCATGTTACTATAAGTACGAATGTTGTCAAAATTGCTGCCATTATATCGAAAGAATTTCCTTTTCTCCAGTCTCCAAGAACAATTTTCCTCCCTATTCCCCCATGTTTTATCAACAGATTCCTCAAGTTCTTTCAGCCTTCTCCCTCTGCCTAAAGCTTAGGCCAGTTGATATTATCAGAATGTCTACACATGACCTCTCTATCAGAACTACCTCAGGACTGTAATCTGCTGTCTTGGAGTTCCCAGAAGGAATGTTCTCAGAGACAAAAAGGAGAAGCAGGCTGTCTTATGAGGACTTGGACTTAAGAGACACTTGGAAAGCATCATTTCCACTGTACATTAATGGTCCAAGTAATCACATAACTTGCCTAGATTCAAGAAGAAGGCCACAGCCACTGCCTCTCTCTAGGAGATGTATGGAAGAATGTGTGGTCATTTTTAGTCTGCCATGAGTGACATCATGAAGGGTTTTGCAAGTCATGTTAAGGCTTTTGATCTTTCAATTAAGAATAATGAAAAGTCATTTAAAAAATTTAAAGGAGTGAAAGATATCACATAATTAGACTTGCCTTTTGTTAAGATCACTCCAGCTGCAGTGTTAGAAGGAGGATATTAAAAAACTGAAAGGCTTTTTTTCTAATTTCTCTTTCCCTTTCTGGAGCTTGTCAGACAGATTCATGTTGGTTTTGCTATGAAAATGTGGTCTGGGTTGATGACAGTAGAGATAAGAAAACTGAAGATTCCAGAGATATTTGGCTATCAAATTAATTAGCTAATTTCCTTGAAGTCCATTTAGGACATAATCTTGTCTTCAAATGATTGGTAAACTTACTTGTTGGAGACCTTTTAAACAATATAATCCTAGGGCCTCCCCAGTGGCACAGCAGTTGAGCACTGTGTTGCGAACGAAGCTGCCCGCAGCCTCTGCAGCGCCGGTTCCATCCCTGGCCACCAGCGAGGGTCCCACATAGCACATAGACCTCTCCTGCCGCCCGCTGCTCCCCTCAGCAGTGTATTTTGTCAGTCTGCCTGTTCTGCTCTCCACTCTGTCTCTGGTGAATTCTCTCACCCTCCCGCACTTCTGACTGTACCCAGTACTTGTATAAATAAATAAATAAATCTTTTTTTAAAAAGAAGTGAACAAATGCAAAAAAAAAAATTTTTTTTAATAAACATTATAATCCTAAAACCTAGGCCTCCCTGGTGGCGCAGCGGTTGAGCGCTGGGTTGCGAAGCTCTTCCGCGGCGCCGGTTCGATCCCCGGCTGCTCCTCGGCCACCTGAGGAGGGTCCAACATGGCGTGCAGACCTCTCCTGCCGCCCGCTGCTCCCCTCAGCAATGTACTTTGGTCCTTCTGCCTGCTCTGCTCCCCGCTCTGGCTCTGGTGAACTCTCTCACCCTCCCTCGCTTCTGACTGTACCCAGTGCATGTATAAACAAAACAAACAAACAAACAAACAAATAAACATGCCTCTATTAAAAAAAAAACTATAAAAAATAATAATAATAATCCTAAAACCTAAATATCTACTGCAACTGATATATATTCGTTCCGTATGTCAATATTCACTAACTTCCATGAAGACCAACCTCTGAGTAGAAACAGACAGTGGCAAATAAAATGAAATCTCAGGTCTCTACTCAATAATATCCACAATTAAGATAACATAATTGAATTACATTTGCTGAGAATGATAAAAATCTTCTTTTAGGACACATGAAAACACTTGGTGATGATACCTTATTCATTCAATAAAAATTCATTGAGTATTTACTTTATGCCAGGCACCTGTCCCAGTCAAGGGAGTTATAAGAGCAAGCAAGCGAAGGAGAGCTGCTCTCATTCTTGTTACATTTTAATGAGGATGACAGGTCAAAACAAGGAACCAAATGGTAAATAAATGAGTTAATTTCAAGTAGTGATAATTTCTATTTAAAAAAGTGAGATGCACAAGCTATTACTGGCACTGTGCTAAGAATAGTCAGACTTTGTTTAATGTTCGTGTCAATGAGCTGTGCTACACAGCCTAGGTGTGTGCAGGCTGTGCCTTGTAGGTTATGTAATTACATCGATGATATTTGCACAATGACCGAAGCACTTAACACAATTCTCAGAATGTTTCCCCTTTGTTAGATGATTCATGACTGTTCAGTAATCAAAGGACTCTCTGAGGAAGTGACATTTTTAAGTAAAATCTGAATAACAGAAATAGTTGACTGTAGGAAGATTTAGCAGGTTGAGAGAGAACATTCAGGCCAGAGGAAACAGCAAGTGCCCTAACAAGCAGGCATAAAAGAATTAGTATCTCAGGCCTCCCTGGTGGTGCAAGGTGTTAAGACACAACCTATGAAGCTGGCTGCAGCCACTGCAGCACAAGTTCGCTCCCTGGCTGGCCAGGGAGCAACCCACATGGCACAGCAGACCTCTCCTGACTCGCCCACTGCTCACCTCAGCAGTGTACTTCAGTCAATCTGCCTGTTCTGTTCCCCACTCTGTCTCTGGTGAATCTTCTCACCCCCCCCCCCACACCTCTGGCCTGTACCCGAGCTTTTGTATGCATAAATAAATAAATCTTAAAAAAAAAAAAAAAACGGAATTAGCATCTTGGGCCTCCCTAGTGGCACAAGGGATGAGTTCGATCCCTAAACAGGGAGTTAATCCACATGGCACAGCAGACCTCTCCTGTCTCACCCATTGCTCCCCTCAGCAGTATATTTCAGAGGATCCTCCTGTTCTGCTCCCCACTCTGTATCTGGTGAATCCTCTCACCTCCCACACCTCTGGCCTGCACCCCAGCTCTTGTATGCATAAATAAATAAATCTTTTTTAAAAAGAATTAGCATTGCAAAACACAGAGAGAAAGAAACTAAAGTGACCTAAATATCTTGAATAAGAGATAAAGTCAAAACAGATACAGTTGAAGAAATAGAGAAATATACATAAGACCTTGTCATCCAGAGTTAAAATTTTATCGGTATTTCAACAAGAAGATGTTATTGGAGGGTTTAGTAAACCACAGTCATTCATACATTAGCATGAATTACTTTAACCTAATCCTTTTCCTAATAATTATTTTAGCTCAATTGAAATTAATCATTAAAAAGAGGAAGCACATGTATAATAATATTGAAATTGGAGAACTGCAGAAAGCATACCTACTTAGTGATAGGCTCTGACTTATAAAAAGACAATGGGTATAGTCTTCAGGAATCATCTACAAGATTAGGAATTTTGCTACCCTAAAGTTGAGTTGAAGGAAGAACAATTGCTTTTTTTCCCTTATTCTCTTTATTTCATTGTCAAATATTTCAGTAGATTATGAAAAATTAAATGGGGATGGAGAGCGGTAGAATTCATCGTGCGTATATATACATATATGTATGTGCTATGACTTACCCTGAATTCCAGGCAATGTCAATGTCAGCCACTCACCAGATAATGTCTATTGTGTGTCTTGGAAGTCAGCAGTACTATGTGTAGCTTTTCAGCATCAATATCAATCACTTCTCAAACATTTAATTTTTTTTAATATCACATTTTAAGATAAGAGAAATATTCCCCCCTCACTCTATAAATTATTGTATAATGTTATTACTAACTAACTAGATTTATCTAACTCTAAACTTTCAGTTCCTTTGCAACATAATGACTTAGCTTATTATAAGGAAAAGTTTGATTTGAAGTTCAAAAACTTAAGAGAATTTCATATGGAGCTAATGAATCACTAATACTTTCATTAAAATAATGTTTATAATTCGAGTTCTAAAATAAGACTTTTGTTTCTTAGTGTGCCTTTTTTTCTCTGACCTTTTTTTTAATGGGCTCCTATCCACCACTGCCCACACCTCCCCTAAGAATTTATTTAGATGTTCTTGTTTTACTTGCACAGACTGTTTTATCCCACTGACTAGAACTTGTCCTTTCATTTGAGTGGCAGTTGCTGATACAATGATTATACACAAAAATAAAAATGAATGAAAAAAAAAAATGATGACCTGGTTCCCAGTGTAAATATTCTACAGTTTGAAAAAGCCAGGATCATTGCTTAGTAAGTCAGTGACTCATGCTTCTTGGCTTCCTTGCCTGACCAAAAGAATGCCAAACCCATCTAAATTGTGTTCCTAGTTGATTGTCATGGACTGTTATTTCCAAGGTGATCTATGTATAGTATACTTTAGCATATGACAGGCTTAAGAGGTTTTGAAATTACTGGCAAAATAATAGGGAATGCTAAGCATACTTCTATTTGACTTGTTTAATTAAATAATAACCTCTTTTGTGAAAATCTCAGAAAGTATTCTGAAGGTCAAGGTTTTCTTCCCTGCATCTAAGTGGAAAGAAACACCAGTTATGACAATACTAAGCTAGCGCTGCTTCACACTAGTTTGCAAGAGCCCAATGTGACATTTTTAGAACTTTGATGAGGCCACTATTAAAGACAAACATAATTATAAATTAATGATATAGACTTGCAATTAAATAAATTCTATTAAAACCAAAGAGTATGAATACTTCAAATGGTTTAGCTCATAATCATTTAACTACATTTTACTCTCCATGTTCTTGAGGCTACTTATATCTGCTGTACTTGTGTAGTGGAAATACTACATAAGTATTGCTATGGCCGATCTCTGCCCACTTCCATGCTCAGTGACATCAAGCTGGTATCTTGAAACAGGCCTGGTAGGAGTATTTAGTAGTGTTAAAGAGGTTTCAATTAAATTGAAATTATTTATAGGAAGGTGAAATTAAGTTAACAATAGATTCTGTAAAAGATGTAATGATGAAAAAATACATTGGGAAACAGCAGACTGAGACACAACTCAATGAATGATTCTGTCAAATCATGACTGAATTGCTACCAATGAATACAGGAGTTTGGCCAACATCAACAAAAGTATTGTGTAAGACTCAATTGCACATATGAAAATTACAATAAAAAGTGCTGAATGTATTATTATTATTTGCATATTGTATGCTACACATCCTTTATATCAGTAAAATGTATAATAAATACATATACTATATATGCATATTTTTTCCCCTACAGAGTCCCTTGTTAACATTGACCAGACAATACTGCTTCTGTGGGAAAGATGAAATTCAATAGTTAACCTTAACAGCAGCTTTCTCAGGAAGTTACAATGGAGAGCAAGTTTGTCTCCTAGTGAACAAAATCTGTTTAAATCAGTATATATTCATGCTGAATTCAATTTGGTTTGTCAGCACTGAAAAGGGTTTTGTTTCCACTTTAAATCTGAAACTCCTCCAGTTTGAAAGAAAAACAGAATTTCAATCAAATGAAACTGTAGACATTTTTGCTCAGGATAAAGTATCACGGCTCACACATAGACTTTGGGGGATATGATTTAATTATTATGAGCATTTACCCAAAAATACTTTTTTAAATCAAATTATGACATCATGTCTAATCATCTTAGGTTAATATTTTCACCTTTAAATTAACTGAAAAGGTGCATGAATAGTCAGTCTGGGGTAATATCTGGTTCCTCCATGAACAAATCTGACATCCTTAGGTTGTCCTTTCACTCTCCGACCAGCAGAGGTCAAAGCAGTGACACATCAGATCAGAAAATGTCCCCTGACCCAAACACCCTAGAGAAGAAGACCCCAGCTTACACCATGATTTTTATCCACCTGTTACATATTTCATCAGAAACCCTCTCCCAACAAATACAAAATAACTCCTATACATGGTATGAAATTTTAACCACCTGTTATATATTTCATCAGAAACCCTCTCCTAACAAATATCAAATAATCTCTATACATGGTATGAAATAGGAAGTAGTAGAGACTGGTGTCCTGCCAGGTTGGGTTTTGTCAATCCATAATCCAGCACAATAATTTATATAGCCACTCAGACGTGGCCTTTGTTTCATCCCAAAACACATTCAGTGAAAAACTCTCCCAAATGATTCTAGTGGGGAAATGAAGACACCTTGGAGACCTGAAAATTAGATTTTGAGACCTGAAAATTAGAAAAGTCTAATCATAGGACTGACAATGTTTCGTTTTTGAAGTTGATATTTTTTGGTTAAATTCTCAAGATGCCAGCAAAAAAAAAATCCAGATCTGAAGCGTGTATATGTTATGAGAAGACTGGAAAAAGTAATTTGGGTCCATTATATAACTGCCACTTTTTGTTTTTATTCAAGGTGTCATAAAACTGAGTTCTGCAGTTGAAGGTACGTTTTTTACAACCACAAAATCAACAATGTTTTTGCTTAAAGGTTGCATAGCGCGGCTTTGTAGCTAGTAAGCTTCTGTGGCAGTGGTGTTTGATGCCATGTTCTAATTGCCAGCTATCACCATTCCATCTGTGTTTCTCCTCATTCTGGTCATTTTATGCCATGAGTCTCTCAACCCTCCATAAGTGGCCTTAACACTGACCCTAGAGGGCAGCATTTAAGAGAGTGAACAAAGAGATGTTTCTATTCCCTGATGTGACTGGCTCAGGTTCAGTGTTCCTTGGAGAGCCTCTTGTCCTCCAGCAGCCTTATTTGTAGTTGGACATTGAGAATTTTCAGGAACCTTTGCCCCCCATTCTTTTACCAAGTCCTTCTCTGGAGTATTTGGTACCTTAGCCCAACATAGCAGGCATGTTCACCTAGGAAATATACAGGCCTGGAGTCCGTAAAACCTCCCGATGAGAAAATTAAGTGAGTAAGGCACTTGCCGATCTCAAATGTACCTTCTTCCTGGCAGTGCAATGCACTACCCAGGAGGTCTTGGGACTACCAGCTTCACTTATTGTGAGTAGTGATTCCCTTTAGTTGGGCTTTGCAGGAGCTGAGAAGAGAAAGGACAATTTAAAGAGGAAGCTTAGTGGGAGAGAGAAGTAGCAGAGCGTTTTTGCTGAGTAATCCCCAAGAATGTTAAAAACACTGCATTTTCTGCAACAATTCAGTGCTTATTGGTACAAAATTGATCTCCATACCCTTGTAGGATATACCATCCAAAAGCAGAGAATGCAAATTTCTCTTTTTGTGAGTTTCGTGTTTGTTTTGAGGGATGTGTGTATGTGCTCATTTACTGGGAGTTTGTGAGGCATGCTTTGGAGGTTTTTCACACCCCACTTAATTAGGGAATCTTCCTTGGAAAAGGTGGTTGGCTTAAAATAAGGTGAGTCTTCACATTTGAAGGGCACTATGGCTTGGTGGATGGGCAATGCATGGAGCTGGGAGTGGAAAATGCAAGAGTGGTTGGAGTGGTGAGACCATCTGCTGATCTCCATCGAAGGAGCGAGGTGGGCCGGGTCCTGAAGGTTGGAAAGTGAGAAAGGGGTTCAGTAATCTACCCACGGGATTGAAACTCCAAAAGAGGAGAGGGAAGTGGGGAAAAACTCCGTCCCTTCTATGAATTTAATGCCATCGCATTTTTTTTAAAAAAGGTAAAAATACAGAATTTCTGATGTTCATAGCAGAGAGTATACCACTCTCGAAAGTAAGGAAAGGGCCAGGAGAAGGAGCAGGCAGTGGTACTTCCAGGTGGAAAGAGCACAAAATATTGTCTCCTGGAGCAGCAAGGGCAGTGACTATGCATGTTTCAGACCTCAGCAAAGCCAAGCAGGGATTCCAGTTCCCGCTGCACAGTAAAATGGAATTTTATTGAGATTGTGCACATCTCTTCCTGCCGAATAAAACATAGGAGACGTGGCAACAAAATCAGTAGGGCCATGAGAATGACCTTGCCTGCAGAAACTCCCAGCGTCAAGAGTGCACTGAGTGTCAGTTAATTATCTGTAGAACTCCAGATAGCAGTTGTTCTGCCCTGGGTTGTTTTGATGTTTAATCAAGGAATGACTTTGAAGTCACAGCTTTAAATTGCCTGCTTGGCTTAAGCACAGTATTCCACTTGCAACAAAAGAATGGAAAAACAAAATAATTATTTTAACAGTCAGGAGAACATTAGTTTTAAAACAATTGTTTGCTAGAGGTTACTACTGGGTAGCATGACCTATTTGCACCCGCCAATCAGGTTTCTATTCTCCAGAGAAAGATGAGAGTGAGGGGGAATGAAGACAGGAAGCAAATGACTGTCTGGGGCTTTTTCAGCGGTCTCTTTGTCACTAGGGTTCACAGGAAGTTGTCTGGAGTGGCCGTGGGTCCCCGAGATCAGGCTCACTTCCACAGCTGCGTCAGCATCTTTTGGCAGCTTTTTGGCTGAAGGCTGTAGAAGCTTGAAGGCTTGGGAGCATGTTCTGTTGTAACTGTGTTAGAACTTGTGTGCACAGAGGGCTGTCTGGGGTGCAGTTGTGAGTGGGTGTGTGCGTGCTCAATGCATGCATTCTTGTGCATCTGGAATGTGAGGTTTTAACCAGCATGCTCAGTGCAATGTATGTTTTGGACACTATCTTTTGATTCAAAATCAAACTTCAGATGGTAGTCCTTGTGAACGCTTAGCTAATTCCTGTACTTGCTTTTTTCCATCTGTGGAATATACTCATGACAGCTTCACAGAGCTTATCATGTCAAGGAATGTGCAAATCAGGGGAGGGGATCCACTGCCAGATATGAAACCTATTTCCTTCTCTTTAATTATGGCTCTGTTCTGGAACATCCTAGAGCTCTGAAAATAGCCTTTTTAGAAAGCTGTCTTTTTTCCTTTCCCTTTTCTTCTTTTTAAGGAAAAACAATTGTAGAATTTATGAGTGGACATCAACAAAGGGTCCATTTGCTAATGCCTGTCAAGGAGTTCTGTGCTGCAGATTTGTTCCTTCTCTTTTTCTGAAGCAGGGGTGCCCCCTTCAGCATTTTGCAACTTCATGTAAGGTTTCAAAATCAGCACAAATTGAAAAACCACTATTATCACATTAATGACATGGTTAAAAGTGAAATGTCCTTTGAAAGTCTTCGAATGATACTTAACTACACACCCATGCTTTAGTTGTTTTCCAATGAAGAAAGATATTTAACAAGAAAAAACTGAAGCATGAAAGAAATAATTGCAAAGTTTCACTGGTAACAATAATGACTTCTGGATTCTAAGTGAGACTGATAATCCCAAAATTTGGGAAACTGAGATAAGACAAAAAACATCCAGACAGCAAATTGGGGGAAAGCAGATAGCTGGGGCAACAGCAAGGGGAGAGGAACCATTCATGCAGGAATTTCATGATAGAATCTTCTAAATATGCCTCTTTAAAGGGATTTTCCCTCTTGAAATTGGAGCAGGGAGAAAGGGACACACATATCCTCAAGGAGAACAGCACACCTGCCTAATCAAAGAGCAGTGAGAACACAGGTCACAGAAGAGCTGAATCATGCTGAGTTCCAACTGCTCTTAAAGAGTGTGGGCAGCTGTTTCTTTCCAGGGAGGAGGGTCCCAGCCTGTCAAAAACTCTGTCCAATGGGCAAGGTTCAGAGTGTAGGGGGGTGGCGTTCAGTCCGGAAGTCAGGAGTGTGAGGGACAAGATGGAGCAGTGGAAGCTGGAGGCCGGCCTTTGCTGAGGATAACGAAGGCCTGTTTCGTGATGAGACTTGCCTCAAAGGTTAATTGTTTATACCTTGTGAGTAGGCGAGAATCCAAATACCAGAATAACATCGAATTCTTTTGAAAGCCTCTATGAGGAAATGAAGTTTGGTTTCTTTGGATAAGTTCTGTGTCTTAATAAGTAGGGGCAGATGAGCCTCAATGAAGAAATCTAGCTAACAATATGGTCATCTCTCCCGCTTTGGGTTGTCTCTGCTTGGATGCTGGGGTCTCAGTTAGCATCGGAAGTGACACACCTGAGGGTTAGCAATAAAGCCTCACATGTCCCCTTTAGCAGCTTCGATTTTAAAAACAAAACCTCCCCTGAGCAAAAGAAAAACAAAGTGAACCTTTGTTTTCCTTTTTCCTTGTTGTTTCTTCATTTTGTTAGGTATTTTTAAAGAGCCTTATTTCTCCCTGGTAATGACTCATAATCCACAACGCCCTTCAGAGCAGGAGACCTAGAACTAGTGTCATATCCAAGATGGGACTTCTACTCTTCACAGCCTCAGACCCACAAATGAAAGCACTCCTCAAGAACAGGACAAAACAAATAAAATCTTGGCTCAATCTTCGTTCTCACTTTCAAATTCACAATACCCGTGGTTTCATGTCTGGATTATAAATCTATAAAAATAAGACCTGGGTATTTTTTTTAAGCTTTATTTATTTATGCATACAAGAACTGGGGTACAGACCAGAAGTGTGTGGGGGGTGAGATGACTCACCAGAGAAAGTGGGGAACAGAACGGGCAGACTTCTGACTGAAATACACTGCTGAGGGGAGCTGCAGGTGACACAGGAGAGGTCTGCTGCTCCAAGTGGGTAGCTCCCTGGCTGCCCGGGGGATGGAACTCATGCTGCAGAGGCTGCAGCTAGCTTCACAGTGCTGTGCTTAACCCCTTGCGCCACCAGGGAGGCCCTGGGTATTTTTTTTTAATCTGAAGCTCTGATCTGAGTTTCATGTGTAGTAAGGACTGAGATATTTGCTTAAATTCTATTTTCCATAAATTGACACACAATGTATCCAAAGACACCTTTCTTAGTCTGTTTGGGTTGCAAGAACAAATTGCCATAGATCAAGTGTCTTAAACAATACAAATTTATTTCTTACAGTCCTGGAGGCTGTAAATCCCACATGAAGACTTCAGAAGATTCAGGGTCTATGAGGGCCTTTTTCTGGGTTGCAGACTACGGTTTCTTATGGTGTCCTCACATAGTAGAATGGGTGAGAGGGCTACCTGGGGTTCCTTTCATAAAGGCACTAATTCCATTCTTCAGAGCTTTGCCCACATGGCCTATTTACCTCCCAAAAGTCCCACTTCCCAACACTGAAACTGGCCAAACTGAAATAAAGGGAATGATCAGGTTCATGAGTTCTCCTGGCATGCTTAAGAATGCAGACCACACAGAAATAAAAAGATTTTATTTATATACTAGAAGAGAGAGAGCTGAGAGAATTTGCAGGCTGACCCACAGCCAGATGGAGTCTGTCCTACCCATAGGTGGTGTCAGCTGAGCAGAGGCCAGGGTACACTCCATAGCCAGCCAAAAAAGAGACCTCGCACTCACATAGTCAGTCTTTTAAATCCAACATGGTGGGGCCTCCCTGGTGGCGCAGGGGTTAAAGACACAGCACTATCAAGCTATCACCAGCCACTGCAACACAAGTTAGATCCCCGGCTGGCCAGGGAGCTAACCCACATGGAGCAGCAGACCTTCCCTGTCTCGCCTGCTGCTCCTCTCAGCAGTGTATTTCAGGCAGTCTGCCTGTTCTGCTCCCCACTCTGTCTCTGGTGATTCCTCTCACTACCACCCCCACCTCTGGCCTATACCCCAGTTCTTGTATGTATAAATAAATCAATCTTAAAATAAATAAATAAATAAACAAATCCAACATGGCCACTCAGCTCTACCCCTAGTTCCCAGGAGGCCCACACTCTCCTGTTCAGGAAGTCATGTTCATGGCATGCTGGGAGTTGTAATGCTTGGTACTGAGGTCATGGCAGTGCATCCATGGAAAAGGAATCTGGAAAGCCCCACCTTAACTATGAGTGTCCCCCTCTGCCTGGGAATTTGCTTTGCACTATTCTTCTGACAATTCATCACCTTGGGGATTAAGATTTCAACATATGAATTTTGAGTGGACACAAATATGCAGCCTATGACATCCCCAAATGAGTATATATTTGAAAAATGTTTAGGGGCAGAGACGGGAATAAATAAATAAAAATTAAAAATATTTATCGATGTCATCCCCTCCCTAGATGAATATTGTTTTTATTATTGTTGTTTATTATTTTTCATGCAAAGCCATA